CTGTATTTATAATAGTTAATGTGTGTTAATAAACGACTATACATCCTCATCTAATTATGTCTGAATACGAATGTGCATATCAGCTATCTGCTCACCACTCATTGCGTGCGTCTGTCGTGGCGCGTCTTCGTTGGTTGATATAATGGCCTATATCAACCAATTAGGAACTACTCGTAAGTGCTGCAGAATATTTGTCCTTATGACAATATTCTGAGAATAAAACTCTTTTAGTTGTACTCTATTAACAATTTCTTATAAATTGTTATGTAACAATTCACCCCGTTACATCACCCCCCCCTTAACCATCAGTCACGATAGTGACTGATCGACTAAATGGATACTCGTCCCAAATCATTTGGGACAGGGTTTGCACTTGTTGGTCCGAGTCCACATTCCAACAGTTTCATCGCATGGTAAACAAGTTCATGCGGTGCGCGAACAAGGCAGCTGAGAGCGCGTCTGCACGTCTCTGTGCAGACGCCGAAGCAGAGACCGCAGCAACTGATGTCTCATCGATTGCTGAAGCGACTCAGCCTGTGTCACCTGATGATGCAGGCGCTCGTCATGAAGACACTCATGTCTTCACAGAGGATGAGCTCGGTGTCTCATACTCTCCTGATACGTCAGATGGATCTGTATCGAAGGCGGTTGAAACCAAGCCGCCTGCCAAGCGTGGTATGGATGATGCTACTCGTCGTAGCATCTTCGATTCATCTGAAGAATCAGATGGACCATCGCCAAAGCGAAGGCGCTCGAGATCGCAAGACTCGGGCGCTCATAGTGGTGTCGGTTCTCCTATTGACACCACTTCGCAGCGAGGAGCCAGTACTTCTGTCGACACGTCGCGGAAGACTGGGACCACAGTGCGTTGCGTCTTGATCCCGAGAAGAAAGCATGGCTGCCTCCCAAACACGTCATGGATCACTTGTCGGCGACGACGAGTGATCGTTATCGAACACGATTGTTCGATTCGTCAAGGATCCATCACCTTGACCCCAGTGCGAAAAACTATCACACTGAGAATGAGTTATTCATCGACGCTTTCTTTAAGCATCGATGGTACAGTGGGAATCACAAACGTGATGGTCCCTCACTGCTTCAAGCGTGAAACGCTTACATCCATAACCTTGAGGATGTAGGTCGTGACGTTTAGAACGACAAACTTATCAAAGCTCGTGATAAGTTTGAGAAAAGAACCCCGACAGGTGCACGCTATAAGCTGCATCGTCTGTCTAAGGAGGGTGGGTTACCCTGTCTTTCCTGGGGAGACCCGTGCCCTTGTTTTGTAAACAACTCTGCGCGCGCACCTGAGGAGGATTACCTCCTTACTAGCCCGTGGTGGCGCGTACGTATCTCTAGTGAGATGTACGAAGGGATTGACAACTTGAAATCCCTTTACGACCGTGCCGGGAAGACTTTCTCCGGCGGCCCTTCTGCGGCACAGGATGTGCCGCGTCGTACTGCTCGACCAGACCCAGTACGTCAACCATCAGTTGGGAGCGGGGCTCCCAAGTATCCCAGGACGGGGGATAACCGCGCCACCGGACGAGGTAACTTGTCCGACGTCTGTTCACGTCGCGATGGTTCAACAGCTGCTCAACCAGATAGCGCTGGCCACCGCGAGAGTCCTCCAAAGGAGGTGGAGGAGGAGGGAAGACGCTCTCCAACTATCGTGAGGAAGCGTGTAACCCCGAGAGCCTCTTTGATCGCGTAGCGCAAGCGGTACGCGGCGATCTCGAACATGAGCGGGACAGGCGTCTCCAACTGGCGGACACTGTCTTGAAGCATCGAGCTGAGTTTGCCTTTGCTCAGCTTGAGAACGAGAGAGCTTTGGCATCTCTGCGTGACGAGCTAAGGGTAGCTCGTGGGGATATTGATCGGTCTCGGGATGAGATAACTGCTCTTCAGGCCCTTGTTGATATCCACCATCGGGAGCACGTGGATCTCTGTGAGATACTTGAAAGCAAGGGCGTTCTTCATCGAAACAAACAGCGTACTGATGGTACGGCTTAAGCCGACCAACGTAAAACGTGGGATGCGCGTTGCCTAGGCAATGTAATACACGAAATGGGCCGATGTACTTGGGTAGAAGTTTACTACTACCCAAGTTAGTCACTACGTGCTTTGGTAGATTAACCGTAGACAGTAGGACTAAGTCAACTTTATTAAATAAAAGAGTGTTTGCCCTTCCATTCTTGTCAGCGTTTTGCTTTTGCTTATCCACCTCTTCGGCGATGGAGTCTTGCACAAAACGGACTACCGTTTCACGAGCCAGTATGAATTCATCTGATGACTCGTTAGCTTCAGTGCGCTGTGAGTGCACTGCACCAACATCAATCTTTTCTTCAGTGAGGGCTTCCTCGCTCTCACTGGCATCATCTTCTTCGACATCGATGTTGTCGATATCGGCATCAAACGCAATGACCTCATCGTCAGAGTGTGATGAGCGTGAACCAAATCGGCTTTTGCTCGCGCGAGTCTCTCCCCCCTTAAACCAGAGTTACACTCGAGTAAGGTGGGTACACGTGGATGGCGTAAGCCATTCACATAAAACGGTGTACGTGTCGTAGACGCATGCACCGAGTTGTTAAGGGCAAACTCTACCATTGGCAAGAACTCACTCCCACTCTTAAAGGAGTGTACGTATCCTCGAAGTATCTCTTCTAGGACACGATTGGCTCGTTCCGTCCGACCATCTGACTCTGGATGATCAGATGTCGACATCTTCAAGCGCGTTCCGAGTGATTTGAACACGGAACGCCAGAAATCAGCAGTGAAGCGTGGATCTCTGTCTGATACGAGTTTACGGGGTAACCCATGAAGTCGGAAGATGGTGTCGATAAAGACACAAGCACAGCCACTTGCTGTGATTGACTCGGGCACAGCCACAAGGTGGACCATTTTGCTGAATCTGTCAACAAATACAAGAATACCCGTATTCCTGCGTGCGTCTTTGGGTAACCCGAAGACGAAATCTGTTGAGATGGATTCCCAGCACTTTGCCGGAACTGGTAGAGGCTGTAAAGGTGCACGCAGTGAAGGACTTGATTCACGCGTTGACAGACTTCGCATGCGCGAACATACTTTCGCACAAACTGATACTGGCGGGGCCAGTAAAAGTCTCGACTCACCGTGAGATAGGTTTTCTCACGGCCACGATGTCCTCCTATAGGAGCATCGTGATGCTCGGACATGATCCGCAAACGCAGATCAGTATCATCTGGAACGACAACACGTGGTGTGTCACCAGTAACGGCTGTATAATACAGTAAACCGTTGCAAGTAGTGTATCAATCTGATGCAGATCGATACGCAGACGATAATCGTTTCAACGATTCTCGAGATGGCTGTGAGAGATGTGTCAACAACTTCACCATCTCACCATCTTGGGCATACGCCCGCCTCACATCATCATGCAACGTTGAAGATGGTATGGTGGACGTGATAACCGCAACAGTGGCTGTGTTATTGTTGGGTTTCACGACTAGTTCAAAGTCGGGACGACGTGAGAGTGCATTAGTGACGACATTAATTCTTCCTGGTTTGTACTCTTCCGTAAAGTTGTACTCTGCAAAGAATGAAAACCACCGCGCCATTCGTTGTGAAAGGTGCGGGCTGTTTCCTGCCGTGCGTAACGACACATGGTCTGTGCAAACAATGAAGGATCTATCTCCTAATAGATAAACTCTGAGCTTCTCGAGTGCATACTTCATGGCAAGGGGTTCCTTGTCATGCACTGGATAGTTCCGCTCAGCTGGTTGCAGCTGACGCGACTGATAGCAGACGACGCGTTCAACGCCTTCAAGATCGTACTGCATTAGTGCACAGCCGATTGCGAAATCGCTGGCATCACAGACCACATGAAATGGCCTGTCCTGATCGGCAATTGCTAGGACTGGGGATTGTATCAAGCTCTGCTTGATACATCAAAGGAGCGCTGACATTCAGCGTTCCATAACCACCTCTCGTTCTTTTTCAACAAACGAGAGAGGTGTACAGTCATCTCGGCGTCATTGCGTGAATACTTGTGCAAATACGCCGCTAGCCCAAGGAATTTTTGAAGACCTTTGACATCAACTGGCACAGGCCAGTCGGTGATCGCCTTGATCTTTTCGGGATCAGGACGTACACCGTTATTACCAACGATGCATCCAAGAAGTGGTATTTCGCTTGCTGCAAATATACACTTCTTGAGGTTTGCACACAATTGATGCTTTCGCATGATTGTAAGAACCTGTCGGACGTGGCATCTGTGAACCTCAACGTCCGACTTTCCATCCATATCCCGACTATGGATGAATACGTCATCGAACAACTCGGTGCAAATTCTCGTACTGGTCTCAACAGATGTGATACACATCTGTTGAACGTGGCAGGGGCATTCCTAAGCCCTTGTGACATTACTAGCCATTCCCAGAGAGATTTATGCGGCGGTCCTTCAGATCACCCTGGGGTTAACTGCGAGTACTCTGACTCAGTTTGAACTCCTTACAGGACCCGCACCGCTCATTACACGATGGAGCTTTTCGGCTTGTAGGGCCTCCGGACGGCACTGGCCACTCATTGGTGGTTGCTCGTCTACATTATTAGCCTATCTCCGGCGCCCTGTAATTGAACCCTTACCAAATATCGATCCAGGTACCTCCCGGTCCCAGTTCCAGTGGTTATCACTCGGCCACTGGGGTCGGTTCTAGCCATTCCCAGAGCATGCCGCTAGGCGTGATCACTGCGGTATAGGGTATGTCCCGTTCTCGCATAAGGATTTGATAGAAGCCATCCATCAAATCCATGGACGAAAAGATGGTACTCTTTGACATACCGTCAATGATTACGTCCTTCCTTGGTATCGGCGTCTGAGCCGGTACCGTTGCAGCATTCAACTTGTTGAATGCATGCACTATCTTCCACCCTCATGTTGCTTTTCGCACACAGAAGGTCGGAGAGCTATGTGGGGAAGTTTATTCCCTCACATGGCCCGCAGCTAAACGATCGGCAAAGAACTAGTCGACCGCAAGTACTTGTTCACGAAGCAGTGGCCACTGCTTCATGACACAGTACTTCGAGCCTGGTTTAAGCTCGACCTCGTGTCGAGTACCTTTATCCTTCGGTAACTCGGACGGAACAGTTTCAGGGAATACATCCTTGAATTTAACCAAATCTTCATTGAGAGGATTTGTCTTGAGCGATTCCCACGATTGGGAGTCATATCGCTCCACTCGTGTCTTTTCATCTAGGACACTCTCGTCCATAGATGAACTACTGAGAACTCTCTCGTTCTCAGTGAACACTGTTGCTGACCTTATGTCGGCTACACACTCGTCGTTAGCGACGGGTATGCAGATCTGCTTGACTTTGCCACTACGCAGATCACGCAAGAACCTTTTATGTTCGAGATTTGGCAACTGAGTGATCTCCGAAGTCAACTTCGGAGGCGCAATCAGATCAAGTGTGTAAGCGCCTACACTTGATACGTCATTGACTAGGACATTCAATGTCTCTGTCATTTCCTGGGGACTTATTCCCTCAGGCCTCGAAGGACTTATTCTTCGGCTTCCCGGGGACGTATTCCCTCGGGTTTCGGGGAACTTATTTCCACCGTATCTGTAACATCAGGACTTATGCCCTTGATTTCCTCTAGCTGTGGCTGCGCAACCACAGTGAGATCCTCTACGAAAGACTCTCCAGTCGATCTAGGATTATCGTTTCGCTTAACCTGAGCGATCGATGGTTTCTCTTCTAGATGTTCCGTGGTAGGGATACATCTTTGTCCCGGTCCACTCGACTTATTCGAGTGGTGGAACTTTGGCGCAGCCTGTGTTTCCTCACAGCCACCGGAAGCTTGCTCCGAAGTGTAACTATTTGTTACACTAAGGTTTCGTGCAGTCGTACTAGCGACCGTACCACAAGTGAGGCCATCGCACTCACTCGTAGTACATCCACACGCTTGTGGACGCTCCAAAACGTTCATCAATGGCCATCTGATGAACAAGCGGCAGGCATCGTTACTGTTCGATGTTGCCAGTTTACCCGTGGTTCGTACCTTCTGAGCCACGGTATTCCAAGGATGACATCAAATTTGTCATCCAAATCCAATACAATAAAGTCATCGTCATATCGGGTATCTTCTATCGTATAGTGGATCTTCACTATACGCTTCATGACGGTTACGGATGCGCCTGTCGCAAGACGTACCGTCATCCTCGTAGGAGGTGTGTCACATTCACTGAACTTAAAATGACCATCTTCTAGCGATTGGCGTCGCACTAAATTGTTGGACGCCCCACAATCGACTAGAGCTCGAAGTACAAACTAATTCGTCACTTCGAGTTTCAAGGTAATGAGTGAGATCTCATTACCTGGAGCATCAACGCACAATGTTTGTGTGTTGGGAGCAACCTTCATCAAGAGGCCTACAAATTCTCTTGACGTTGCTGGACCAGTAGGGTGCACCTACTGATCCTGTCCGATTTTGACGGTCCATCCCGTTGTTGCGTCTTTGCACCAACAGCGGACCCTCGTCCCTGCCCCTTTCTCATGGGTGGACGGTCATTACGCCCAGTGTTGCGAGACACTGGACGAGGGGCACTACACTCGTAAGCGTAGTGTCCTGTCTTTTGACATCTGTTGCTTTTATGCAGCTTCTTGTAGTCTGTAGAGAGAGCCTTCTCGCTCTCTGCATAACAGAGTTCCATCGGCTCTGGACCTCCGCTGTCATATCGTCTCGGTTGACGAAATGATGTCGAGCTGGCGCGAGCCTGTCTCAGACTGAAGTCTTCCTGTTCCGCAATGGAAATGGCTTGTTCTTGTGAATCTAGTTGAAGTCAGAACAGGTGAGTCTTGACGGGACCATCCGCAAGACCCTGCGTGAACACCGAAACCGACGTGTATTCATCAACCGGGTTGGAACTTATACAACTCGTGAGATGTCGTATATGTTGTGCATAAGCGTGCACATCACGCTTACCCTTTTTGATCTTCAAGAGTTCAGTTCGAGCTCTGAACTCAGCTCTAGGCGGTTCAAACGTTTGTCTGAGCCGCGACTTGAAGACTTCTAACGACCCAAACGCATGTGGGTCGTGCAACTTGATCCCCAAAGCCCAAGTCTTGGCACGTCCTGCCAGATTTGATTGGGCAAATGCAACTTACCATTCTCCGTCGTCGATGCGACGCGCCCTTATGGCGCCGTCCAATTCGACAAACCATCTCACGAGGGAGTCCTCTTCGACTCCCCTATACTTGGAGATGTCAATCTTCAATGTCTCGGGTCGACGCGAGTGCATCGACCCACCACCAGCAGCCTGCTGCTGTCTCAACAGTTCAAACTGTTGAGCACCCTGTTCTCTCAACAACTATGCTTGATGAGAACCTTGTTGGTGAAGCAAGGCTACTTTCTCGCGTTCAGCGTCAAGTTCATTTTGAATGAACTTGGCGATAATAGCATGTTGGGCATCTCTATTGAGAGCCTCTAGCATGACGCTAACAGCATGGATGTCCATGGTTGAACCCATCCGTTCAACCGCATCCCATTCGACATCGCTCAAATGGGAGTAGCCGTCACGCGTAGCGTGAAAGCTTTGGTCATCTTCATCATCAAACATATTCATGTTAGATGTAAACGTGGTCCTTGGACGGACTACGAAGTGCTACCAGGTGTAACGGGGCACCCTCAAGCTTGTACTGATGACAGTACAAGCTACTTATTTTGATGACAGAATAAGGCGGTGCCTCGTAACTTCACGTAGACTGATACGTGCAGAGGAAGACGGTAAGAAGAAGCGAGTACTTGGTTAAAGTAAAAAGGAGAACTGTATTTATAATAGTTAATGTCTGTTAATAAACGACTATACATCCTCATCTAACTGTGTCAAAATACAAATGTGCATATCAACTAACTGCTCACCACTCATTGCGTGCGTCTGTCGTGGCGCGTCTTCGTTGGTTGATATAATGGCCTATATCAACCATTTAGGAACTGCTCGTAAGTGCTGCAGAATATTGTCCTTATGACAATATTCTGAGAATATAACTGTCATAGTTATATTCAATTAACAATTTCTTATAAATTGTTATGTAACGGTTCACCCCGTTACAGACTAGCCCTGCACAACCACCGGACTCGTCGAAGAAACCGGCGTTGCTAACCAGGCTCAAGATATATCAGACATCCTGCAACCATTAATGGTTAAATAGACACGTCTGCATCTCGCTCTATCTTGGTGCAGTTCTCCGAACTGAGTATCTCATACAAAAGAGCGAGCCCCAGAACTTGCTCCTTTTTCTTACGCATGACATGCACGCGTAATGATACAGGTGTTCTGTCGGAAGTTGAAGCGTCGATGACACGGCACCTATCAGTGAAAGCAGAAGCGTCGAAGAGGAGGAGAGAGCGAGTGGCCGACCAGACGCTCCACAAATCGTGAGAGAAGATTGTGAGTGTGTGTGAATAGTGAGAGGAAGTGAGCGAAAGAGAAGCGCACGCAATCGCACGATACAACAGGCTGCAAAGAACCACGGAGAACGCAGTCGTGTACTCGTACGTTACGTCAAAAGCTAAAGATTCAACTCAGTTTTAACATGCGGTGTCGACTATTTGATCTTTTTGTCCATCGCTGGACATGCATTTGCTCGCCAGAAGACACCGATTATAGACAGACGACCCCGATTTATGAACGGTTGCGGCTTCTTCCTGACTCGGTTTTGTGCTCCAGAAGCTACACAGCTGTGAGCATAAAAGGTGGCCAGTGCGGGGATGAACCGTATCTTTGTCCAATAGTGAGCTGTTCACTTCGGGAGACGCGCGTGCGTTTTATTCCCTATTAGGAGCAAATGCTCGGACGACAGCTAGCCCGTGTCGAGTGCAGAGTTGAGACTGTCAACTGGAGGACGCGCGCGCTGCTTTGTAAAGTTCTGGTTCGTACCCATTTCCGTCTTTTCCCATTGACCGTCAGTGCGCCAGCTTCTCAGCCGAACGATGCGTTTCCTCCACGTGGTGGCACTGCCTAGTGTCTTCGTCTTTGCATCCAAAGTAGATCGGCTTCAAGCCCTTGAGTCCGATTCTGACGAGAAAGATGTTCTTGCTGATGCATACAGCCGATCCGATGATGCAGCGGTTGTCAGCGAGGAAGACAGGAGTTTTCAAACCTTCCTCCAGAGCTTACTCCGGGGATCAGCTGCAGCGCCTAAGGCATCTTCGACAATGTCTGTGGCTGAAGCCGCTAAGGTCGTACAAAGCGCTGAGTCAGTTGGGAAAGGTGCACCGGTTGGGAAGAAACATTTCAGCCGTTTATTCCAGGATATAGTGAAGCAGAAGGAGACAAGTGGAGAGAACTTTGACAGTTATGTTGGCAGCGCGGAGTACTTTGAGCTTATTGCGCAGATGTATGAAGCGAACAGGAAACTGTATGGAAAGAAGGCCATCCAACCCTATGAGTTCTTTGTGAAGGAGCTCCCGCGCAAAAAATTGGCACTAGCAATCGACGGTGCTCTTAAAAGCAGCAAGGCACAAAGGAAGACGCAAGGGGAGCTGCTGAAGAAAGCAGCCCATGCCAAATTGGCGAAGATGTGGAATGTGGCAGCCAAGGACGTTCCGGCCGAATTTTATAAATGGCGCCCATTGAAGATCTTCCTGTGGAAACTGAACCTGATAAACCCTCAGGAAACGGCTGCGACGGAAGTTCTTACCGTGTAGAGGCGTTGTTGTGTGTTCAGTTTCGTATAGTTTGCTGCATAATATATGCACATGTCTTGACATTTTTGCACTTGCGACAGCACTAACTTTGCTACCTCCTATGTCAAGTGTCGTAATGTACCAAAGTAGCCAGCAGAACAACAGCACGTGCAAACTTCCAGCTGAGAGTCGGCGATACACTTAGTGAATCACGTACAAGTGCGACACGATCGGCTCCCGCTGCTGTGTACTTGTAGCTGACACTTTCGTGATCGCAACTGAACTAAACTAAACTTGCGCGAAGCCAACAATGATCCCGCATAATTGACCACTCCAAAATCTCAGCCGAGTTCCGCCACAGCTCAGTTCCAGTTTCGCATCACTTGGATGCCTTGTTTTTGATAGATGGCTTGCATCCGAACGTCGCATTGAGTAACCAGCCTATGTCATGCTCGAAAACAAGCGGTCCTTGCGTCTCGCTTTCGTCTCGTATCTCACTCAATACTTGATACACTTTGTGTTCGCTTGGGGACATGTGCGAAATGAATAAACCCAGTAAATGATCTGACTTCGTGGCTGCAACTTGATGACGAAAACGCATGGGTGAAGTTGTGAAGCGGAACGGACGTAACGGAGGGCAGCACTTGAGACCACGGCGCTCGGTCATACGGTGGCAAGAACAAAAAACGGCTTCGCCAAGAAGAAGAGTTCTCCACGAAACACACGGACAGCGACTGCACCAAGTTATGACCGCTCATCCGGCGTAGGTTTACCATCCATCATTTCGTATCACAAACTTGTCATACGCTCACGCGTCCATATCTTCGGAAGAGAGTCGCTAACATCCCGGAACCCAACCAAAGAGCAACCGCACGGTGGTGGACACGGCGAGCTGCTGAAGCGACAAGAAGTTCTGGTCTTCGAACGTGCGAACGCATGGAGATCGGGTGACGAAATGAGCAGTCGCTGCCTTTCGCAGCAAACTGAAGCCGTACGCGACTTGGACAATACGTTGTCGTAAAGTGGAAACTTGAGCGCTGCATTGACAGGCTAATTCAAGCTCCAACGTCAAACAATATTGCCTTTCCACTCATATCGCAGTAGCTCTGCACGTGAGAGGAGATATATGGGAGCCTTGCACGTTATGGACAATGATCTTGGCTGCCGTAAGCACGCGGCTTGACCGAAATTTGGCAAGCACTTGACTGTGACAGTAAGCTTGTACTTCAAGACGACAATCCACGAACACCACGAGGATCATACGCCAACATCATCCACGACCGAACTGAGGATGTTACTGCTTCATAGCAGCGAACATGACAAGTCTATCGTATAATTGCAGCTTGTTGCTAAAAAACGCACTCACTTCTCGTAAAAATGCCGAAGCAACCCCTTTTGCGTATGTCCAAGGAATTCGGCGACGCATGCTTGGGAGCTCGCAACGGATTCAAGGCTGATTGGGGTATGAGACGCAGCAAGCACTATAGCAACAGCATCGATTCCGTCTTTACCGTCAAGCAAAGTCACTCGCAAGTCACTCATGCAATTCGTTACAAAGAATGCTGCTGTAAACTTTAGACGCAAGACGATGATACGCAGTGGTGCTTGCTCATTCAACTGTTCCTGCATCACAAAAAACACTTGCGAGAAGTCCACAGCGTCGTACTCTAACACTGTAATTCACATGAACAAAACTTAGCTGAACTATTGCTATTGCCGTTGCATACGTGATAGCTCGGGATCTGCACTCACCCGTAACATAACAGCGAAGTTCCCCGATAAAATTCTTCCGTCTCCTCCATTGCTGCAACACGATCTGCACAAAAAACGCGATAAGGACAAGGATTTGTCAAACACGTTCAGCACGAGCCAGGACAGAACAGCAGCGTCTACCGTTTTGCACGAATCAACCAGCTCGACGGAAGACGTCGTCTCACTCGACGGCGGGAGTTGCGTCACTTGACTGGACAGCAGCATTCGAGCGGGCCATTCCACAAAAAGCGGCCACAAGTCGTCATGAATCCCCGTCGTTTCGTCATCATCCAAAGGGTACCCAAGACAGATCGTCAGTTCGTCCGCCGTACCGCACACGTTTGGGACATCGAAGCTCTCAGGTAGATAGACAGAATCAACGTCCTCGGCATTCATCAAAGCTTTTGTCGAGTCCCATGGCGCAATCTCTCCGAACAGTGGCAATGCAAATAGCACACAATGGCCTCCCGATCTCAAATGCTTTAGCACCACGACGTCCAAACCAGAGAACTGCCGCAACAATTCGTACTCAAACTTCGCTCGTGGTGACGCAGAAGCCTGCACAGTCTACGTGAAAAAGATACACCCATTTATTGTCACCCAATAAGGCAGTACAACCCGGTAGTCACTAGCTCTCGACGTACCTGCACTTGCACGGCTTGAAAAGCGTCGACAAGCCTCTGAGCCACTTCTACCAGCACGTTTGTCAACTCGTCCCGAGTCAATGCTATTGCAGTATTGTGGCCACTACTAGACACATTCCATTGAAGCTTGTGAACACTTTTTTGCAATGCCGTCACCACTTTTTCTTGTGATGTCTTCGTAACCTCAAATTCGGTCGCTTTATCTCCACATATCGTTGATTCCTGCAGATACACACTCACACACTTGACTGCACACGATAGTCGATCAAAAACACCAATTATTGTTATTAATTACATATTTTTTACAAATCACATTTTGTGTTAACCCGCGGCAAATTATTGTGAACATTGTGTGGACAACATTTTCATTGTTTTACCTCGGCAAAAACAACAGCTGCCTCTCGTCGTCCAAATGTCCGCACGCGCTGCCAACCAGACGTTGCGTGCGTACAAAACCTCTACAAGACCCGCAAACACAAGTGCATTCGCTGTCTCTAGCGTGATCGAGGTCTTTCCCGTTGTTCGAATGACACTTAAGGGCATTTCATCAGTCGGGACGACCTCCGCGACACGAACGATGCGTCCACCGATCCGCATGCAGTCCATTTCGCGCTAAGTACGCAGTTGTACCAACCCAGGTCGAGCGAGTCGAGCCCCCCCCCCCCTGTCTCTCGTTTCAAATTCTGGTCCACTCGTACCATTGTCGTACCAAAACACGGTCACCCCTTCTAAAACACCCAAAAAAACCTTTTCGCATTTTCTTCACCCTACGAAACGACATTACTTCAGTTCACATGCATTATCTCAGGTCCGCAGCACTGGCGGCAAGAAAAAGGGAGGAAAAGGAGGGAAGAAAACGCGAGTGAGTGAGTGAGTGACCAAGGAAGCGACCGACCGACCGACTGAGCGACCTATTGACGGACTGGAACCGACGCCCTAGCCACGCACACCCCGCTCTTTCTCTCTCTCTCTCGCCCTACACACGCACACGCCACGCTCGCACTTACGTAGCAGCCGCGCGTGTGTCGCGCTCGTCTTTTGTTCCAAGCGCCGTCGTCCCTCTCGAAATTGATACCGTTGGGCGACCCCCTTTTTGAAAGGGTTTGTCGCCGCTGCTGTCACTGCAGCAACGATGAAGGGCATGCTCCAGACCGTGAAACGGAAGCTCAGTACGAACGGCGAGCACATGGCTAACGCTCTGGATCGCATGGACGTGGACGGAGGAAGCGCCGGGCACCGAGCCGCCGAGTCGCCCACGAGTGACGTGGCGCTGCCCAAGCGCGAGCGCCGTCGGTCGTTCCTGGCGCGGCACCAGAAGATCCAGGCGCTCAAGGACTTGCCACACTTGAAAGACACGGCGGTGCAGCGACGAGAAGCGCTTTTCCAGCAGAAACTCGAGCTCTGCTCGGTCATTTTTAATTTTGACGACCCCACGTCGGATAAACGGTACTGAAAATGGGTGTTTTACTGAGGAAGGGCGTGGTGGAGTGGTTTTTTTTTGTTTCAATGTGGTGGTGGGGTTATTCACGGTTGGGGTGTTGCTGTGTGTTTGTGCTTTTTGTGGGTGTTTTTATGTGGTTTGGGTTTTCTTGTGTTTTCTTTGGGGGTCTTTTTAGGGGCAAGGACTTGAAGCGCCAGACGCTGTTGGAGCTGGTGGATTATGTGAACAATCCTGGAGGTCAAAAGATCTTTACGGAAGCGCTGATGCCGGATATAATGGCAATGGTGTCGGTCAACATTTGCCGCGCGTTGCCGCCGCAGACGGAGGATTTTGATCCGGAAGAGGACGAGCCTGTATTGGAAGCGTCGTGGCCACATCTTCAAGTGGTGTATGAATTTTTCCTGCGCTTTATCGTCTCGGGCGAGGTGAATGCAAAGGTGGCGAAGAAGTATGTGGACCAGAAGTTTTGTCTCTCGATCATTGACCTGTTTGACAGCGAAGACCCGCGCGAGCGGGATTACCTCAAGACGATTTTGCACCGCATATACGGCAAGTTTATGTCGCACCGATCGTTTATCCGCAAGGCCATCAGCAATGTGTTCTATCGTTTCGTCTACGAGACGGAGCGACACAATGGCGTGGGCGAGCTTTTGGAGATCTTGGGCAGTATCATTAACGGCTTTGCGATGCCTTTGAAGGCGGAACACTTGCAGTTTCTGGTGCGTGCGCTCGTGCCACTGCATAAACCAAAGTGCGTATCAATGTACCACCAGCAGCTTTCCTATTGCATCACACAGTATGTAGAGAAGGATCCCGAGACAGCAGTGCACATCATTCAAGGTATCATCAAGTTCTGGCCGTGGTCGTGCTCGTCGAAGCAAGTGATTTTTCTGAACGAGTTGGAAGAGATTCTGGAGCTCATGGGCAGCGAACAGCTGCAAAAGGTGCACAAGCCACTCTTTAACGGCTTGGCCAAGTGGCTCGGCAGCCAGCACTTTCAGGTCTCAGAGCGGTCGCTGTTCTTGTGGAATAATGAACACCTCGTCAATAACGGTTGCTTGAGCAAGCAGCACGCACATTTGATTTTGCCAGTCATTTATGGCCCTCTTCATAGGAACTCGTTGGGACACTGGAACACCACTGTTGAAGGACTCGCTCAGGTATGTTGGCGTTCATACTTGCTTTTGTTGTTAATGTTTGCGCACTCAGTGATTAGTTGCTTTGTAGAACGTGTTGAAACTCTACATGGACTACGACATGGCACTCTATGACCGCTGTGCAAAGGATTATTCGCTGAAAGAGCAAGCTATGGCTGACGTCAAGGAAAAAGAGCGAGAGAAGTGGCGGAAAATAGAGATGATGGCAGCAGCAAAGGCTCCATCGTCAACGGCCTAGCTGCATCGCTGAACTGATTGGATCAGGAGCAAGCCTCATACAGGGGTCGACCGACCTACGCACACCCTATAGTAGCGAGTTGGACCAAACAAATGGACAGAGAAACGGAGAAGAAGGAAGTGAAGGGGGCAACACGAGGCTGTACCAGGAAACGGCTGGACGAATGGCCACGCGTGATCCTGGCTTTCGCTTGCAACTCTCCACAGCAATCTCATGCTGAGCTCGGAGACTGGCAGCACCGAAAGAAAGCGGCAGGTAGGCAGGAAGGCAGACTCGATAGGTTTTCGATTGCATTTAGATGGCAGACAGCTGCGTTTGCTGGCAGGCGGCGAGCATGTACAAGTGCAAATTAGGTGGACTTTTGCATGGGTGAGCCTTGTTTTGATTGTTTTGGTGCTTTGAATGTACCAGGACGAGTCGTCGTCTGATTGACCAATCAACTTCTCCATTTGTGGGTACGTCGACGCCCATTCGCGTACGCTTTCGAAGAACACGTGACGATCTGGCGTGGTCTATGTGTCTCACACCAGTTACACAATCTGTACGTAGAATCGCTGTCAACCACAGAAGTCGTCAACGCTGAGAGACAAATGGTGCGCGTGTGGCTCCGTCCGTGCGTGTCTGCCATGACCGGTGCGTGCTCCACGACAATGCACTACAGTGTCTGCTTTGCCAGTAACCTCCTCTTATGATCTGTGTATTGCGTCTCGTTTATACAGCACTCGGCCGTCGTGCCAGTCCGACTGCAGTGCTGCGGGTACAGACTTCACGCTCATTGGCTGTTCACGACGATTCGTGGCTTGTGATTGGTGGCATTCGATCTATGGGAACTACAAAAGGCAAAGACGATGGCAAGAAAGGTGAGTTATTTGTGTGTGGCATATAAATAACAGGGTGGTTGTGCTTTAGAGAGAGAGAGGAGGGTCCTTAAAGTGGTGATATCTGTCGTGTGAGTGAGGCAGAGTTCAAGAAAAAGTCAACGTTTGACAAGGTGGTAGTGGAAGACGAGGACCTGACGGAGCTGCCGGATGAAATCAAACATCTGAGTCAGGAGCTGGACGAGGAGATTCGTACGGTCGTCGAAGGTGATGACGAGGACGAGGAGGATGAAGACGCAGATCTTAGTCCTACTGAGTGGGCCAGGAAGTTTGAGCGAGAGGTGGCTGAGTGGGACCAGGAGGAGAGAGGCTATGATGAGGAGGATATCGGGCATGCCTCTGAGGCTACAGTTGTTGAGGACGACCGACTGTATGTTGAGATGCCCGGGTACGACGCGTCGCTGAGCCTTGCGGAGAGTCAGATCGGAGTGAATGAAGACGCAAACGTCCCGGATCCGTTTCAGCATTGGGACCAGGGCATGGCGTGAGTTAGACTGTGTTGTTTTGCCGGTTAACCTGTGCGCATGATCAGGAACTTACGTGCGAATGTCTCATTTTGTTTGTAGTATTTCCCCCGAAATGTTGAACTGGATGTTGCCGGCTGAGAAGAGGAAGCCGTTCAGGAAGGACAAGACTAAACCATGGAAGTACTTTGTGGCGGCCAACCACCCTGATGTGGTTGAGTTGGCGCTTGACGTGGATTTGCTGCGTCTTTTTATCTCGCCCACGGGACGCATTCGTCCCCGCCGGTTCACTGGTCTGACTGCGAAGCAGCAGCGCAGGTTGGCACAGGCGATCAAGATTTCTCGTCAGCTCGCGCTGCTGCCGTACCTGTCGCGGTACCCCGAGCCTACTCCGGAGCAATGGAAGACAATTGACGATGAGATTATCGCAGCTGCTGAACTTGAGGAAGACAATGATGACGGTGTGGACGACGACGACGATGAGGACTTTGATGAGGATTTCGAGTATGATTAGAAATAGACGAGAAAGCACGAGTGGCCGAGATGCTATTCATGGCGCGGCAGTTGTAATTGGCATAGACAGACCGAGGCAGAGCAGATGAGCCATTTCGCATGCGATGGGTTGAAAACGAACGCAAGAGCAATTGTCGATACCACAAAGAATACGCCGAGGTATTGAATCGATTGAAACTACACTGAACTATAGCTTGTCTCCTACACGTGCTCGAACGTGCTTGCGTATGAACATCATCCATAGAGAGCATGACTTTTATGCACAGGGCTCATGGAAAGGCAAACAGAAGCTACACATGCAGTACGTAGTATCTCAATCAAGAAAGCAGGCACATCAGAGTAAGCTGATCAACTACAAACCCGCTTGAATTCTTTGTTGCTTTCAATTTCCAGTCGTATGCCGCACACTAGACACTGCTTTCTTCCGTCGACAAGGTCCCTTCCTCGGCTCTGCATGTCACACCAGGTAACTTATTCGTCCAGCTCAGCTGCCAGAGCGGTAGCCTTAGCCTTCACCTCTTCAATGCCGCCAACCATGTAGAACGCAGCCTCCGGGAGGTCGTCGTAGTTACCGCTGATAATGTCCTTGAACGACGAGATCGTGTCGACGAGCGGCACAAACTTGCCCGGCTTGCCCGTGAACACCTCAGCAACGTGCAGCGGCTGCGACATGAACTTCTGCACCTTACGCGCACGAGCCACCGTAAGCTTGTCGTCTTCCGACAGCTCGTCCATACCCAGAATGGCAATAATGTCCTGCAGACCCTTGTAGTCCTGCAGCAGCTTCTGCGTAGCACGAGCCACGTCATAGTGCTCCTGGCCAATAATGCGGGGGTCCAGCATACGAGATTTGGAGTCGAGAGGGTCCACAGCAGGGTAGATACCCAGCTCAGAAATCTGACGAGACAGCACAGTCGTGGCGTCCAAGTGAGAGAACGTCGTGGCCGGCGCCGGGTCCGTCAGGTCATCAGCCGGCACGTAAATGGCCTGCACCGAGGTAATGGATCCTTTCTTCGTCGACGTAATGCGCTCCTGAAGCGCACCAAGATCCGTGGCCAGCGTCGGCTGGTATCCCACAGCAGAAGGAATACGACCGAGCAGAGCCGATACTTCCGAGCACGCCTGCGTGAACCGGAAAATGTTGTCCACAAACAGCAGCACGTCCTGTCCCTCCACGTCACGGAAGTACTCGGCAACGGTCAGACCCGTCAGACCGACACGAGCACGAGCTCCAGGGGGTTCGTTCATCTGGCCGTACACGAGCGCAGCCTTCGAGCCCGTGGTCGTGCCGTCCTCATTGATCTTGATCACCCCCGACTCGATCATCTCATAGTACAGGTCGTTTCCCTCACGGGTGCGTTCGCCCACACCGGCAAACACCGACACACCGCCGTGATTGTTGGCCACGTTGTTGATCAGTTCCATGATAACCACCGTCTTGCCCACACCGGCACCACCGAAGAGACCAATCTTTCCGCCCTTGGCGTACGGAGCCAGGAGGTCCACGACCTTCATGCCCGTCACCAGGATCTCAGCCCCCGAACCCTGCTCCGTCAACAAAGGAGCAGATGCGTGGATCGGCGCGTAACGCTTGGCGTTGATTGGTCCACGCTCATCGACGGATTCGCCAATCACGTTCATGATACGGCCCAAGGTTTCAGGACCCACGGGAACCTGTCAAAACACATCATACGTACTTAACACACGACATTCTTCGAAATCATCTACCCCCTATCTGCCTACGAAATAAAAACCATGCTTTCCTCCTGGATTTTATCAATAAAACCCAATCTCCTCCACACAAACAAACCTACCATGATCGGGTTGCCCGTGTCCACACACTCCTGGCCACGCACGAGTCCGTCCGTGCCCTCCATGGCGATCGTACGGACCGTGTTCTCGCCCAGATGCTGGGCGACTTCCAGCACAATGCGCGTGTTGTCTTGGGTCTTAATCTCCAGAGCGTTCAGAATAGGCGGCAAATTGTCCTTGAACTGGACGTCCACCACAGCGCCAATGATCTGCGTGATCTGACCGACCGAAGCCGCGGCTTTCTTGGCGTCGGTGGCCATGAGGCGCACGCCGCGCATTGCGGAGAGTCCCACACGTGACAACATCGGTACCTTCTGTAACTGGCAGCTGACCCACGTTCGAACTACTCGCGTCAGCAGCTGAAAGCGGAAATGAGGAGCGCCGGGCTGGAAAAAACCCAGAGGGGGCGGCGGGCGTAAAGGGGGGAACCAATGAGGACCACACACGCCGGTCGTCTTGACGTTTGTAGGAGACGGAAGTTGGTTGCGTACTTAAGAGAGAACGGACCTTTTGGACGATGGACCCGATCGCAGGGATTGGACAAATATAAGTAAACGGTGCAACTGATGCGGGATACTTAGTGGAGACAGCGTGGCACTAAGTCACGGCAGGTCGAACACGGGTTTCATCCGCGGGTATGGGCTAGACCCGCTTCGACAATGTGATCTTGCAATTTGCTGACATTGCAATATACACTGGAATTGTAGTGTCATGTGCTCGTACGAACTGAGTTGCCAAGTCAATCAGCGAAAGGCTAGGTGCAATTTCACAATCACTTCGCGAGGCTCCTTTTTTGCAGTGTTTGCAACAAGGTCAATGGGCGTTGCAACTACGTATAAACATCAACGCTTGACGAGAATGCATTGCTTGAACAAGGTCCGCAATTAGTCAGTCAAATACAGCCAACAAGTCTATCGATCTACCGTCCCTAACGAGCCAATTGTTTGCGAAATGGAGACAATGCACCCACTTGATCCCATCGCTCTCTGCAATCGGGTCAGCACCGACGTGAATATATCGCGTAATTCGTGTACTTGTCATTTGATTGGTAGCAGCAGCGACACTGCGTTACTCGAGCTTGTGTCACATCTGCCCCTGCGCCTGCAAGCGGTGTTCTAAGGCTGTCCACTTGAGCCGGCGTTGGTCTGTCGTCTGCTGCGCTCTAGAAATCACACAAACACACAGTCACAAAAACAGGATCAGTAGTGCCATCTATCATCATCTTCAACGCAAGCGCAACATGCTTGCACGCTCGCTCACCTTCCTTCCCGCTCTTCAAACTGCGCAGAACACTGATCGAAGAGCTGCGAGTCCATTTCCATAAAGAGCTTGAGCACGTTGTACGTCAACGTTTGCACGGTGCTGTGCCAGTGGTTCTCACAATTGCGGTACAGCGCCCCAAAGATCAATGGCAGAATCTCAGCTCGCCGCGCACTTACAAGCCGCACCAGAGCCTCATTATTCCATAAATATAAGGCACGCTGAGAGACCTGGAAGTGACTGCTGCACACGGCTTGCGATATTCGCAGAAACAGTGGCCGCATCACGGCGGCAAACTGCTCCATCTGAATCATCTCAATGATTTCCTCGAGTTCATTCAAGAACAAAATCTGTGCGGCACATGTACACCAAAACACAAGTTAGTCAACTGCAATCACAAAACGAGTTCACGCGAATTGCAGTAAAGTAGCACACGAGACCTCTTTGGCGCTTGCAGTCACCGGCCAGAACTTCAGCAGCCCGATGATAATCGGTTCCGAGGTCTGGGGATCTTTCTCCACAAACTGCGTGGTGCAGTAAGCCAGTTGCTGATGAAACATGGCCAGGTTTCCTGCCTGCCCACCAAAATGCGACGCAACACGTAAGACTTCTTTTATAGGTGCACGCCATCGCATACGCGAACGTCATACCGTGTGAAGCGGAATCAACGCGCGCTCGAGAAAGTTCTGGTGCTCGGGCTTAAGCGGCAGAGCGAAACCGTTGATGATGCTACATCCAGATGACCAAGACATTGTCAAGCACACATGATACACGTCGCAGCAACTTCAATGATAGTCCCACACCAACTACCATGACGACTCGCGTATGCAACGCACCTTCCTAGAATTTCTAGCAACTCTCCTACACCCTGCAATGATTCCGTCTCGTACACGAACGTGTAGAACATGTCGTTGATCGAGCGACGGATGAACGAACGCAGCGCCATCGACTTGCCATAGATGCGATGCAAAATCGTCTGCAACCAGCAATCAGTACACAAATGTACACCAAACATCATCAAATTGCCATCTACAAGCGCACGCAGCAAGCAACAACAAGCCCTCGGTCGTCAACAAACCTTCAGATAGTCCCGCTCCCTCGGATCTTCCGAGTCGAACAGATTCAGCAATTTAATCATAAATCGTTTGCTAAAATAGTCCTTCGCCGTCCTCGAATCCACCTCCTTGGACAGCACAAACCGGAGCAAGATCTCATAGACCAACTGCATGTGCGGCCACGAAGGCTCCAGCATTGGCTCGTCATCCTCAGGTGCAGCTACCAAAAGCAAACAACCAAAGCAGTCCGCACGATCAGAAATGGCTGCATAGATCACCCTTACAACCCAAAACAAGACCAACAATAACAACAACAACAACAAAAAGCAACAATAACAGCAGCAGCAGCAACGTAAACAACAACAAGAACCTTCGACGTTCCCGTTTGCGTTGATGGTCGAGGCGTTCAGACTGCGCCCCAAGTGGCGGAAAATGTTCACGCCCACGCACTCGAGCAGCTCTGCGACAACTGAAGGGTCCCACACCACTTTACTGGCGGAAATGTACTCGACGATCTGCAAGAGCGCGTTCCGCTTGGCCTCTTTCTCCCGCACGTGCTTGCGCATGTCGGTAAAGTCGTAGAGCACGCAGCAGAGCTTGAGTTTCTGGCGAAAGAGACGCATGCGCTCATTCGGCGGCACGTCCTCGAGCGCCGGCAGCTCCGCCAGCTTCATCGAGCCACTGGACGACATGACCACGGCCGCGTTCCCTTCCTAGTGGAGCTGCTGGAGCCGCTGGCGTTGAGTCGTCGGTAAAAAAAGAGGTTCCAGCTCGGGGGTTGACTTGGAGCAACCTTCGTGCAACGCGAAGTAGCGGCGCGCGATTCGGTATCGCGAGGTTTTTTTTGGCTGCGACGGCGGTAACTGATTCCTACCGAACTGGATCAACGACGCTACGATGATATTTTAGTTGAAATAATCGACTCAACAGGACACGGCGGCTAAATCAGGGTCATTATTAGTCGCAGACTGGACGACGGAAGAAAAGTCGTTTCTATTCATGAGCGTTGCTAGCAGTGACAGCGACTGACCACATGACTCAAATAGTGCAATCTCAAGGCAACGATCACTTTGACGTTCGCACGAGATAAATAAACAGTATGTCGTGCAAGTTAGCGAAAGATGCAGGACGCGTTTGCATGTGGCAAAAAAGGAGCGTCGAGCTCGACTCGTTAAGATGAAGACCATCTCGTATCTGATCTCCTGTCCCTTGTGTCCGCTCGACGCTGCACACGAACGAGACTGGACTCAACGAGTACAAAACGCGACGATGTGAACCACCATCATCGCTTGATCACCATTTTTTCGTCCATGTGGTGGCGACCTTGTCCAGATTGACGCTCGACTTCTACGACGATTGTTGCAGTGCTGGATGATGCAAAACTGTCCGTCCGCACTCTCCGTCATATGGGCGACGACCAATGTGTCAGGGTTAGCAAGGAGGAGATCAAATACACACGAGTATCATTCTATCCATGTCTGAGAGTGGTGCAAAGATACGCCATGTCATCCATATGGGCAACTGCGTGCTCGGCTGCTGCCTGGTAAGCAGCAATCAGGGCTTGGTCGACCCACGCTTACCGAAGAACAGCAACGAAGCACAAAATGTCGCCTTCTGTCAGACGTCTTGGTCCACGCACCATGCATGAATCGTAAAGAGATGTCCAGGCGTCAATGAGCAGTTCGATCGACAGCCTTAACCCGATCACGTGTAAACCGCACTCTCCGTTCTAAGCATTCCATCCACCCGAATATTTAAAACTTTACGTATCATGACACGACGGCACGTCACGCCATGTCGCGTCTCGACACTTTGTTTCGCCAATCAATACGCTATATCAGTGCAAATTTAGAAACGCCCATCCGAACCCCAATTATCACAATACCAATCGACTAGACGGCGAAAACGCATGTTGCCGCTCGCCCGTCTGTCGCTCTCTCTCTCTCTCTCTCTCTCTCGCTCTCTCGCTGCCTTCCAACCTGCTTCAGTTTTGAATTCCCCACGTCGGAGCGACATTCACTCTCTCTTCCACCAACATGCACCGCCATGATGCACCTCAGGCACCGCCACCGCTCGACAGCGACGACGCGTGCACCGAACTCTCACTCGATTGCACCGATGTTGACCGTCTCGTAGACGTCAACTACCTCGTCGAGCAGCAGCAGCAGACGATTACGTCTTCCAGACGGAAGTGTCGACTCAGTTCCACCTTCGAGCAACACGACACGGCCCGCCCCGACCTTCTCAAGTGCCCACTGCAGTCACCTTCGACCCGTCACCACGCCAAGAAACTTGGCAATCGAGACGACACTGAAGAGAACGATGACGACGACGCCAATGCGGTCGGTGCAGCCTATACACGCCCACCTGAAGACCAGACGCAGCCTCGGATTCCTCCATCGTATACGCTGTCAACCATCCCAGTCTGCAGCTGTTATCGAGCACGTCATACTACGTCGTCCACCCCCGCCGCCACTCAAGTCTCTCCCACCGCCCACGACCTCCCAGCAGCACTGGACCCTCCCACCACCGAGTACGTGGACGCCCACATTCGCTTCGCTCTGGTCGTGCGCGTCGCGAGCGTCGAGGCGGTCCATGGCCAAGTCCTTTTCCGACTCAAAGTGTCGGACGCCGAGACGCAGAAGCGCTGGGAGCTCGTCAAGACGCTCGAAGACATGACGCGCTTCATTGCGCACATCCAGCACATCAGTCTCGTGGACGCCCCTGTGAAGCGAGCACTCTGGGGCACGTTCCGCGGCTTGCGGCGCTTCCGCCTGCCGAAAACGCTCTTTTCGTTCCGAGGCTCGTCGCTCAACGCTCAGCGTCGAGTGCTTTTTGACGCGTTCTTGCGTCAAACAGCTGCGCTGGTCGCGCCGGTGCCATTGGGCCCGCGGAGGAGGAAAGCTGTGCTGTTGCTGCAGGAGTTTGTGGACGTGCGGCGTCATTGCGACGGCTCGGATCGGCGCCCAGACACGTGCATTTGTCGCACGAATGATGTCCTGGCGTCGCACTTGGTGGCAAAACTTTTTGCAGCGTCGGAGCATCAAGTGTCACGCGCGTGTGAGTCGTTCGTGCTCGCACTTACCCAGCGGTACCTTGACGATAAACACGCGTTTCTGTCGAAATTCAAGGCCCAAACACTGCTGGATACAGTGGCTAGTAAGATGGGCGAAATCAAGCACGTGATGCTGAAGGACGAGGTGCTGTTGGGTCAGCTCGCAGTTGCTCGACTTGAGCGCTCAGAGACGGACTATTATGAGTTTCTGGACGAGGTGAAGCATGCCGTGTGTAGCTTTGTGCAGAAGCACGTGCTGGTGGCGCTGGAAGATCATGTCCACGAGGCGTTGAACACGCTTGCGGACTGCGACGATGAGCTTGCGCTGAAAAACAAGATCAAGACGCTGCAAACGAAGCCACAGTCGTTTTTTGGCGTGCCGTCACATATCGCAGCGGAATCTGGCAGGGATTGGGAGGATGCACGCCGTGAGCTGCGCCGTGTGAACGAGTATGCTCTACCTCTGGACAAGTTGAAGTGTTTGGCGCGTGCTGCTGGGGCTATCTTCCAAACGTGTGGGTCGTCTCGCACGTCGTCTATCGACACGATGAGCAGCGTGTCTTCCATTGATGAGCTGGACATGGTGTTGCGGCCGTCAATGACCACGGACGAGTTCATATCGGTGCACTTGTTTGTGCTGGTCATGAGCAACATGTCGCAGCTGCTGATCACGCGCGAGTTTTTGCGGGTGATGTGCGACCCTCACGATATTAACGGGGAGCTTGGCTACTACCTCACCACGTTTGAAGTGGCAGTGAGTCTGCTTGTGAACCACTCGCACCCTCAGCAACCAATGTTACCGTGAAGTCCAGGACCCGAGTCGGCACGACCGATATGCCTCGTGTCGAAGAGTTGTTTGCTGCGGTCTGAGTCGCTACCCTCGGCGGTATGTGTCATGGCGTAAGTTGCGTATATTTGTTGTACCAAAGAACAGAGTAAACTAGTGTTTGTCGAATATTTTGCTGTTGAGACAGATGCCACTACTGAGCGGATAGACCGACGGCTGGCGCCACGTCTTCGGTTGTAGGTGTTATTATGTTTCGTTGTGGATTTTTAAAGCTGGCCAGATGCTTGAAGCTTGCAGTGTACCGCAGCAGTGTCTTGTTTTGCCTATTGATGCATGTAGACCTATCAAGACTGCGACGGAAAAATCGCAGCGAGAGAAGAGACCGTTCTGTAACAACTTTTCCAGCAAGTTTCTAGCAAGTTTCGGACAGCGTGACGGGTAGAAGCGAAAAGGAAGAACCTTCATGTATAGTACAACACGTGACGGACTATGGTCTCTAGGAAGCTGCTAATGTGCTTAAACGCGTCAGGTTTTCAGCCACGTTTTCACAAGTGCTGATAACGCAGCTCATGACAATGAAATCCTCCATTGTCACACGTTTGGTGTGATCGTCGACATATCCAAGCAAACATTCGCCGTAGCTCTGTTTCAACGCTGCAGCAGCTTCCGTGAGGGTAAATGCCTCAACATTAAGGAGCGCTTCAGGTGCAGAGCTTTCGCTGGCTGACGACAATCCGCGAAAGCGATGTTTTCTCCGGCCCAGCTTCAAGGTTTGTCCGATATTATCAAGCGCAGTCGATGCGAGTTTTGATGTCTCGAATGCTGTCAGGTCGACGAAATTCGACGATTGATGACGTCGAGAATCTTTGGAAGCTGGCGGTGACTTCGTAGTCAAACGCTTTTTCTTTCCAGGTGTTGAAAGGTCTTCGAAAACTTCATCAGCCGGAGTTGAATGGAGCGAGTTTCGTTGGTATGAACTCTTACGGAGCGAGCGCGTGCTACCCATGCGAGAAAGCCAAGATCCAGCTGATCCACTCGCCGCGTCAGCTATTGCAACTTGAGGCTTCTCATCATAAATCTCGAGCTCCAACCGAAAGCCATCGTTCAGGGCCTGCATGAATTCGTTGAACGAGACCTTGCCATCATTGTCCTTATCCACTAACTGCATGAATTCATCAACGTACTGGTCCATGCCTCCAATTCCTTGGCTACCCGAGTACGGCATAAGTTTCTCAAGCAAAAGACCAAGTTCCGAGACATCAACGACTCCGCGACGGTGCACATCGGCAATTCGAAAGGCTTCTTTCATCTGCAAATAGATCGCGTGGTCTTCAGCAGTTGAGCCAGCGAACTCTTCTCCAAACAAGGTTGCAAGGGTGTCAAAAGCTTCTTCAATACCAGCCCCCACAACTGCCAAACTCTGGTCCCATTTGATTTTTGCCGCTGCTGGAGAAGTTGTAGTTACATTGGGCAACGGTGACTGTAATGGAGAAGAATCATCGTCAGTGGCCTTGCTCACCATTTCTGCGACAGCGGCTGAGGTCGGTGAGGGAGGTTCCTGAGCTGCACTGAATGCTGCAGTACATTCGGCATCAATCTGACTTTGGTGTCGACGTCGCAAGATCCGGTCTTGTCCGCTGCTTCGCCGGTTCTCGTGCCACTCGATAAGGTCGACAAGAACATCAATCCTATCAAGAAGATCGCGGCAAACAGCCAAGACTTTTGTGTACTTTGATGTGGAAAATGGCGCCTTCCACAAGCTTGGCTCCATGGCAGAACCGTCCACGAGTTTGGCTTGGGTCTTCAGCAGCTCTGGAATTGCAGTTTTTATCTGCTTGATCAGCACCTTCACTTGACTGCGACCAAGCAGGGAGTTTGCTGTATCAATATCCTCTTCAGTGAGAGGTCCAGGCGAAATGAACGTTGGACGGTTGTACGCAATGTGGTGGCGAAAAACTTCGTGGAAGACTTCGCGATACTGCGTCAATATTTGCTGGATGTTGCTACGAAGGAGTCCGTGCGAGCTGCGGGGATAGATCACGATTTCTACGATCATAAGAATAAGAATACCCAACGCGTTCTGAGTGAGACTCGCGTAAGACACAGTCGTTGAAGATGATGTCGTTCGGCAACCGTGGTCGAGCAGTACTGATGCAGCCATAAAAGCTGACGTCATACCCGCCAATGCCATATAGCGGCCGCAAAACCACACATACATGGACCCCACTGTCCACACGAAGAGTATCATGTTGTTCAGTGTATTGTACAAGGCGTCATCCACCACTTTGCACACAAAGAAGCTCAAGACAGACGGAACCACTGTGCCAGCTACCAAACCTCCAACGCGATTGACCGTGTTACCATAGGTCCCGCCAATGTTATCATCAGCAACCATTGCAATGGCTGTTGGTGCAGTAGAGCTGAACGCGAAGATGAAAGTCGCACAGCATATTCCAATCAAGATTGCCAAAGTCGTTCGAAAGGCGAAGATGATGAGATGACGCGAGTAGTTGAAAGGGTGCAGAAGACTCCGGCCTGCTAGCTTGAGGAAATTCTTGACACGATAATGCGCTGAAAAGTTCTTCCCATTGAAAGTCCCTTCGAAGTTCAGTAACGAGATCACGAAGACGTGAAACGAGTACACGAACACGTTAAGAGGCATCGTCTTGCCCACGTCATCTGCCGTATGGACATCAGCCGAAAGCAAGTTACCGTAAAGCATCGTGTACTTCCCCATGAGCTCTTCAAGTGCCCGCTTTAGGCTGGCAAATTTTGGTGAAGACATACCTGAACCACGCATCGTGTTAGCTCAGCACAAGAGGTAAGACAATATAAGCATAAACGTACTTCGCGACGAATGAACAATCTCAAGCGAGATATCCTCAAGCAAATCATTTGCTTCAACCTGTAGTACATAGAATCGCGTCTGTAACTTCTTGAGCAGCACGACATGCGTCCAGTGGCAAGTCTCCGCCTCGATGGCGAATTTCATTGCATGCAGGTCTGTAAGGAGCTTTGCGTACAACCTCACAAGCTGCTTAGCGATGGTCTTGTTGAAATGGAAGCAGACGCCAAACCCCACAAGCTCTTCCCACCAGCAGTCACTTAGCAGCGACTCCATTGTCGTGAGACGCTCGTGGGCATTTTCCAGTAGCCGATCAAGCCGCAGCTTGAAAAAGTCCATCTTCTTTATATCCTTTGCACGAAAGCAGTACGAGTCGACAATCAAGTTCAGTATATCTCGGATATCGTGGGGCGATGCTGCCATGTGTCGCCGCAGCTTCTGCATCGCACTACCACAAGAGAATGGCAATAGTAAGTGTCCATTGTTCCAGCCAAGCGACGCTTCCAGTCAAAAGATCACATGCTAGTGCTGCTATCCGACGTACAAGATTGGGAAGGGAAGCATCATCGTCGCAAGTGAAATGAAGGTGCCCGCGACGCCAACTGCGCTGTAAATGGCCAGCTGTTTAAGCAGATTCTTCGTGCCATAGTAGCTGTTCCCGTCTGTGCTATCTTTGAGCAAGGCCGTGAATATCGGGTTCATGGGGTTAACAAGTGTCAATGCTGCAACCACATCCAAAAGAAACAACCACACGCACAAACAGTTCATGAACATACAGCATCACAACTGGCTTTGCATCAAATGGCGAGTACGAGGACGTACTGAAATACAAATTTGTACCCACAGCAAACTTCTTCACGTTCGTTTGCTAGGAGCATTTCCAGCACCACAACAACCCGACAATCCCGTTAGTCCATGAGTTGAAAGTCACCACACACCATGTCAACAACAGAGAAAGCCAAAGTAGTACAGTACTCGGTACACACGAAAGTGGTCGTACAATAGGCAAGAGCAGCACGACCAAAGTGAAAAGGGCAAGCAGAGGCAGAGTGACGCCCCAGTCTTGCAGACTCACGTAGTACGTACTACCGTTGAGATTCTTGGAGACCGTCAAGAGGTTGCCTTGCTTGATGGGCACGCAGGCAAAGACGACAAAGTTGTACAGGAGCGCGATCGCGACCCCGACGTCGATTTGCCACACTTGTTCGAGCACGCCACCGACGGTGTTTGCCGCCGCGTAGATGACCATCATCGAGGCGACCGTGAGTCCTCCGAGGTAGTAACTGGCAGGCAAAAAGAGCCACTCGCGCTCGTCGCCATGGGTCTGCACGACCCCAGCCAAGAGGACGCCCACGGCTACGCGGACTGCCAATTGCAGCCGCCGCTTGAACACACGCACCTCTTTGGGGCGCTTGGCTTTCTTGACACGAGCGACTCGTCGACGGAGCTGTTCAGCTGTTGCAGTGGATAGAGACGAGTGGCTAGCAGCTCGTTTACGGAGTCGCAGCCGCATGGACTGCGACTGGGGCGGCGGCGATTGCAGATCCACGTAAAAGTCAAGAGGTTCCGCGCCAACGGATGGTAAAGGGACTGCTACGTTGGACACGTCCGGGTCAACTTCCATGAACAGGTGGTGGTCGTCCATTGACCTCAGAGACGAGGACGGGGAGGACGAAGAGTCTGTGTGTGCGACGTCCAAGTCGCTTGAACGGTGACGTGCCATGCGTCTGAAGTGATGATGGCGACGAGTGCGAGCAGTGGATCGGCGATTTCAATGGTCAAGGGAAGACGGAAACCAGAGGCGGAGGTGAGGGCAGGACGTTGCGAAAGTGGAAATGGGATGGGCGGGCGGAGATGAGGATGATGAATGGACGGACGAGTGGATGGACGGACTGCTACTGAGTACGCCTAGGGCTTGAGTGCGACCTAAGATTCCGAACTGAGCGAACTGTGGACAGGAGGAGCGGTGCACCGAGACGCAGTGTTTCAGTCTGAACAGCTGCTCGAAAGGTGATACACCCGGGACTCGTGGCTGGGACTCGGAGGTGCCTGCAAGTTACGAGGACGACCACATTATAAACACGCATCCACTCCAGGTCATGATGATGCGGCCGCCCGCATTGAAAAGGCAACAAATGCGGTCAGTCCACAAGCGCCGATTATGATTAAATAGGCACTTGGCAGCCAACAGCGGTGACTCAGTACACAGCTACAGATACATAGCCGAATGCTAGAGCTCGCTACCAAGTTTTAGGCAGATAGGCCGCACGATCCGACATGATAGCGGCTTAGCAAAGTCGCTATTATGTTTAGTGGCCGAACGTGCAAAGCATCGTCACGAGAGCGTATTTTCGCGCGCTTGTTGGCGCAAGCACGAACACCTACGTTATGCGCTACCATGAATCAGTGACTCTCGTTGCCGTAGCGCACTTTTGCTCAGTCAACTGCATCAAGGGTGCCGGGTGTACTCCGTTCACTTCAACTTGCTTCGCGCGTCTTACAAATTTTAAGTATAAAAGAAGGCATGACGACCGTGAGTCCTCAACAAACATTCTTTCATACTAAGAACAAATTGTATGCTGGTGTGGCCGTATGCTTTTTGCCAGGCACAAGAAGCGGTGTTTGTTAATGAACTATGGGATCGTTTCATATTATCAGATTTTAACACTGCAGAGGGGTAAATCAAAGCCTTGTGCATGTCATGCTCGAACGACAGCGTCTAACATACATTTGTTATGAGGTTATAAGCACCAACGTGGGTGGCCGTATCATTATGACCCGGAGTGTGTCTGTCTACATGCATGAACATACGCATCGGTTTACACGTATCCACATGATAAAAAATAGCTGTCTAGTTGCCACGTCGGTAGCGTGTAGATTTGGCCGCTGGACTTTGTCAATATGTGAAGGTAAACAAGAGGACGTGCACAATTGTTCGTCGCAGCCAATGCGCTGTTATTCAATTACGATTTTGTGCTGTTTGGTTTGCAGACCAGCGCACGGTCACTGTAACGGAGTGTGCCTGTTGTTACGATCAGCACTTTATAGTTTAAAATTAGAATTTTTGATATTGAAGAGCAAGCTATGGACTTTGCCCTTTAATGTTTGTAATCCAGCTCGGTGAACGGAAAATAAAGTTGCAAAACACTGTACAACAGCAGTCTTCGAAGAATGAGTATGATGCTGTTACTTTCTAAATCAACCCAGTACAGTGTACTCGGGCAACACGATCAACCTTTACTTATTAGCGTCCAGCTGATGCGTATGTGGTCATGTTCACCTTTCATCAATTTATAGCTAATCACATGCGTGCCTAGTAGCGTATTCGATATCGTGAATTGTGTGTATGCAAGCAAGTTAACTTTGGCAAGTATGCGCTGTACTGAGTTAATGAAGACCGGCAAGTCGTGGCTTCTTGTCGCTGATTACCTTTGTCAGCAAAGTTCCGAATGGTATGTACCGCTAACATTTGTCCAATGATACCATCATACAAATACAGAATACCTGAAACAACAATTGCCAAAATGTACGATTTTTTATGTTGCAGCGGCCAAAGTACTTATTTGAGGTCCCTTAGCGTCTGCGAGACTGCGAACTTTAACACACATTTAGTGTTTCTACCAATAAAAATTACACCACAAATATAAACAGCATCAATTGAGTAGTGGATAAGAGTGTGAGTGTAAATATAAACAGCACCAATTGAGTAGTGGATAAGAGTGTGAACATTACCCGGCGCGGAGTGGATACATTTCCACAAACAGCATATCTCACCTCACCTTCATCGCGCATCAACGATGCCATCGCATCCTTAACAGATAGTAACTTGACGTCTGAACAGAAGAAGAAGTCTTGCCAGTGGCATGATACTAACGCCATTCTCACACAGTCGCAGCTGGCTGATATGGCGTAGCGCAAGTTCGCTCTCCTTAAGGTGCCAGTCCAAAGGGAAAGTACCTGGCATTCTTTATAATCGCCAGATGTTTCTGCACGTTTAGGACGTCGATGTTAAGAGCAAGCGAAAACAAGCGCTTGCGCTTCTTAAAGTTAACGAGGCCCTTTCAAACTGGATGCTGCAGTGTCGAGCCAAGCGTGTGATGGTGATCTAATAAATTAGAGAGCGATCCATTTTGCCATGTTAAGCGGCATCCTGGACGACCAGCTGCTATTGTATTCGAAGGTTGGCTTCAATCGTTCCAGGAATATCACGGCTTCAAAAAACTTAGTGATTAAGGTGAGAGCGGATCCATGACTCGGAGAAGATAACCGCGCAGCGTGACGCCATCCGGGAGCGCTTGACAGGGGCCCGCTTGTTAATATTTACAACATGGAAGAAAATGGACTGTTCTACTGCCTCGAGCCTGATAAGATCATTGCCTGGAAATAACTGGAAAGATAGAAGAAGAGCAAGACTCGTGTGACAGTCTATCTGATATGAAACGCTGATGATTCGGACAGCCCCGCAAGTCGTTATTCATTGGTCGCGCGAAGAAGCCGCGTTGTTTTCAGAAGAAGATAGGGAATCAATTAGGCTACTACTATCGAAGCAAGTAGTGGGTGACTGATGCCCTGATGTGCGAGTGGCTATGTGAGCTTGATAACGACATGCTCGCTCAAAAACGTAACACCGTATTTGTCTCGACTGTGCATCGGTGCACACAGCTCAAGGCATGAAGCCGGAGATCTTAGTAGTATGTCCCTGTCGCCAAACATGACCGCAAAGCTGCAGTACGTAAACGCCTATATCATTGCCTCATTCAGGCGTCGATACCAGCACCGCCAGATCGAGCTAGCATTGGATGTAAAAGAACAAAGACAGCAGGACAGCATCTACATGCTCGACCAGCTCACGGCCATAAAGTGGATCAATTTGCATGCTGGCATGAGGGTTGAAGCCATGTTTTTCTGGACTGATTTAGGACCACAGGGCTCGTGATCGGGCATACGACCACTCGCATATCACGCACTGTCGATGGTGACCAACTGAGCACCAGTCTGTTGGTTCATATGCTTCTGCTACGCATTCGCGACCCGTTATACCTGAACGAATTCATTTGCTACACCGCCGAGGCCAACACGGAGATAAAAGCGCTGAATGCTACAGCTGTGCTCAGCAAGTATGGGGACGCGGTCTCCTGTTCGCGGCTTACGATAGAAGCGACTTAACAGAGTCGGAGTCGACACGAGAAGGCGTCATTAACAAGCAGCAAGAGTTCAGCACCGAGAGCAAAGTAGATGCAGTCCTGGCCATCATTTATGTGCTTGGTGACCTTCTAGATACAGGGAGACTTACCACGGAAGGAACACATGCGATTGCGCGATGATGTGAGGGTACAAAAGGAAAGGTCAGTTGCACAGACACTTATTTGTGGATTATCTTCAGCATCACCAACTATCTTGATATTTCTGACACGATAACAAAGTGATCTTAAAAGCACATTTAAAACCTCCATTGTTGACTGTTTAAATTCAATTTACGCACGATCGCTGCGTACACCTTCTGCTTACTTTCTGATAAAAATAGACTCACCAGAATTTATTCTGATGGGCTATGTCACGAAGTTGGGGGACAGCCATGTCTGGCGGGACACTGCTGGTTCCCCACACATCAGGACCCGACGGTCTAACCTCATCGCTTTTGCTTATTCTTGGGTACCGATCTGGCGAGCTCCGGATTGATGCTGCCACAGCGACTTAGTCGAGATAAACCCGTTCTCAAATCTCAAGATCAGTATAGATTATTATATGGAACCCATTCTCAAATTTTAAGATTAGTGTAGGTCATTTTTTAACTACTACGTAGCAAAAACACACTTGTAGCTGCGACACCCTTTTCCACCAGAACACAGCAACTATTTTTAGCCTTCTAAGCGTTTCTATAAATGGTATGTTTAAAGTGCAAGAGAAGGGTGTAAAAACCATACTAATTTTGCGAAAGGGTTGTGCGCACACCGCAAACCCAATTATCAAGCCTTATACTATTAAATCGGACCAAATTATTAATTGATTATTTTTTGCCCATAATCAAGTTTACTTAATACAATGAATGTACACCGAGTTATTGAATCACCACCTTATCATATATAGCAACTAACGTGTTTTCATAGATTAATCTGGGCGGGTTTATCTGTATGTCACTACTCATTGTGCTAGTGTTAATTCTGCTTTTAGCATTTATGTTCCCATTAATATCAAGCCTGTACCGTTGCTCCGTATGCTGAAGAGCGTTTAGCACAGCACAAAAATCGGAGCGCCATGAAAACGTTTTCGTAATCGTATCATCCGTATTTTGCTGTCATGACTCATTTTTGTGCGATTTTTTTGTTTCTTGTTATTATCGCTACGTAAATGCAGCCTGTGCTCAAAGATCCATGTAGCGGAGCTACCGTTACTCCCTTTTCAAAAAAACTATAGACTAGTGTGGTAGAGTGGCGATCGCTCATTTTATTAGTCGATCCCAACTCTCCACTGGCGCCCGGACGACCGACTAACGGAGGGGGTACTCCGATTCCGTGTGTGTTTTCTTCCTCACTTTGTGTACCCGTCGGTAGGGCGGGTTGCACTCTTCAGGTAGACTCGTTTCGAAGGAAAACATGACCGTGATAAGGATGGGGTTGTGATTGTGCGGAATTCTTCACGCGATCACGGGGTATTTGTGGATACTGATATAAGTTACCCTGGGGTACTGAATGAGTTACCATGATCTCAACGAGATCGCCTTGTCCACTATGTGGTTGCTTGATCCGCGAGCCTTATGACTACTTGAGCCGTCTCACGATCTTGCGCCTTGCCTTTACGTGTCTTACTGCGTCCAATCGCAGTTGATGTTGCTTGAAAGTTCTTGAACACACCTGGCCAAAACAGTCCAGGTGTGACACCTGCGTAGACGTGTAGCGCGACTCTTTATATGACGGGGGGCCAAAGATCCTACCCGGAAGAGATAACGTGTGCCGTTTGAAGTAAGTTGAACTCTGTTTAATATTAACCAACCAATCTAAACCCTACCCCTATGCCTATCCGTATATCCTAATCAGATGCCCTGCGTCGTCCGTCCAGGAAGATCGTCCCCTCGCATTTGTGTGGTCCACACCCAGTAAATTAGCAGTTGTATCTTCTTGTGGCCCACCCAAGATATCCCCATGATCCTGCTAGTGGATCGTGATCCTAATAGCGGATCGTGATCCTACTGGCGGATCGTATCCTACTAGCGGATCGTGATCCTACTAGCGGATCGCAACTGATATCGGACCTGCGATCCTGGGTAAGGATCGCGGTCTTCCAGTGAGGTCGAGGGTCTCGTCTTGCCATGTCTCACGTCGGATTGCGTAATCAAAACAAAATTGACCACCCTATAACCTCGTCCCAGGCTGGACGATCCTGCTCATTTGAGGTTTGGGTAAGCTCTTGCCAGCCACCCGTCCCAGCCGGTATCCACTAATCATAGCGTTCTTGGATTAGCTGAAGCGTGCGACCCGTGCGATCGCTGATCCAAGTCCCCAATAAAACTTTCCTTGTGACCGCTTTGCCACACTAGTAGAGACTTTTATTGTATCAATATAAACGGATTCAGGATTAAGGTTCTTAAGTCTTCACAGCCGTGATAAGACTTACCTCTTCATTCGCTAACCATTTTCAAAGTTTTAATTCCTGGTTCGGGAGAATCACAACTGAAATGAATCGGGTGTCACTAATGCCAAAGAGTACAAGTTTAAATGCGGATTCCTAAATCTTGCGACCAAACACGTATTAGCATGACACATTTCAGATTGATTAATAAGGAAATTGAATGATTAGATGATTCATAGCGATAATAAACCTCACCTGCGTTTATAACTTTCTAACTAAGCTACCCAATCTTAGAATCCTAATGTAGACTGATCTGGTATTACCACACCAGAACTACAACGTACTTTAAAGATCATATTACAATGGATCCCATAAAACTATAGTCCATAAGGTACGGTATAACCGCTATCGTATTACATATGACAATAAGCCTATCAATTTCACTGATAACTTTAGATGTGTATCATACCATCGTACTTGGTTATGCCAGTGTTTGTGTAAAAATGTCATAACCCTTATACAATTGTTTAAGATTAAAAGCTGCATACTTCTATAAGAAAACTTTAAGCAAAAGTTGCTTTGAATGTAGGCATCACGATCAGAGAGCTTGTTGCAAAATGCATTTATCCTTTCTCGCTCTGTAGTCTTGTGCGTATTCCGCACGGTATTCTACATTTTTAATCGATCTTCATCGTGGCTAGCTGCACATACACGGCGCTTAGCATTTTGTTGCAGGTCATTTTAAAATTAAAACAAACAATAAAAAAATCATGAAAATTGATGTCCAAGTGCCGAGAGTCTCGGTACTGCAGCGTCTACATTTTTGTATGTTCACTGGTCCTCACGGATTGCTTTGGTGACGCTTAGTCAGGTCCTTCAATCTAACTTTTCACAGCATTTATAAATTATAAAATGTGGGTAAAGTATTAATTCAATCAATTGCCAGAAATCCTATAGATCTGCGCTTAATTAATCTAATCTAGGTCTACAACAGCACCAAACTAAGATCTTAAACGTTTAGACTTCTTCTTTGGTGCGTCGCATGCGCTTTAGATTATAAGTCGCTGCCCTCAATTGTCCGAGGGGAGGACCTCATCCCACTAAATATCTCCTCTGAAGAGTTTCGATTATATTATTGACAATAAACCGGCCATTTCGAAAGCGTCAAATTATATGCATCGCGCGTATCGTGCGAATAATATTATGTCAATAAATTTAACTCAAACCTTCGACCGTCGTTTAGTTTCTAGTAACGTAATGGCTTGCAACAGTCCTCGTTTTTTTCGGCCTATTTATTGGGTTGTGACACGTGTCGTGATCATCGTATTTACGGTGCAAAGGTACAACAACGCTAGTTTTTGTAAGTACTAAGCCTAAAATTGTGAGGTACTAAAACTCTATCGGTGCAAGTTTGTCGTATACACAGATTTATAAGAAAACACAGACACCAAGCGTGAAACAACTCACAATTGTAAATTTGTAAACTATGAATTGGGGGTTGAGTGGACTTCCTGCAAGTTAATTATACCGTAAAGGCACTGATTCGATTAACTCACCGATCCAATAACAACTGAATATAACGACAAACTATCGCGGTACCTAAAACATGGTGATTGTATTGTCTCATCCATGCGCAAATATAGGTTGCTGGTTGAAAGGAAGAAATGCGTGTTGGCTCCTGGTGCGTCTGGATTTGCACTTGCGAAGTTTTAAGTGAAATGAAAAGCAATACATCTATATAGCATAAAATGTTATGTGTGTTCAAGCCACACTATTCAGATAGACTGCACTGAAGCATGACCGTGTACATGTCTGATGGCATCCGTCCTCCCTGCCCACCTCATTGAGTGGTCCCACATTAAAACCTTGCTGCCCTGCACCAACTTTACAGTGTCACACAGCTGTCTAATCTTTAACCTCGACCTGTCTCTCTATGTCCCATCCTCCCGATAGTTCTCTTGTTATCTCACACCTCATCTGTTCTGACCGCAGGCCAATCAGGTAAGACCGTGACTCAATGTGTTCCATATATTTAAAAAGAATTCGAGGCATTTTGGTTATCGACACTCATTTTCAGTATTTTCGTGTTTTGCTCTTACCGTGTACATCGCATGCAACTCATCCATTTCTGGCGCCGGCAGATCCTTCGCTTGAATTACGGCCATCATGTCCTGCGAACTCACATATCTTGTCACGACGATTCTTTCTCTTACCGTATGACGATTAAACTTGAACCGAATACTCTCATGCTTGGTACTTAAGATTCTCTACCCTACTTGAGGTGCTTATAAATTGGCATGATTGTGGATCCACATCGGCATAGGGTCTCCTACGCGCACCCTTAATCATCAGCAAACCTTCGTGCCTAGT